TGGACTCAATTTGCACTATTTCTAGCAGTCTGCAAAGGCCCTCAGTTACATATTTTTAAAATATTTTTGTTTAGGCTTTTATCAGTCTACATTAGGCTATATAATTGGTCCTTGTAATTCCATAAACTATAATGGTGAAGCTGTTACAGAGGTTTTGCAATAAAGTTAGCCATGCTCTGGTGGAAAGTTTTGGTGACGACAACACATCAAACATAATAAATATCTTTGAAAATGTTGTTCTCTACAGTTTAACTAGCTTATAAATTCATTGCTTTTAATCATGACTGCATAGTTAGCTCTATGGAAAACCGAAACTCTCAGACCATTCTTTGTTCTTTTAATGCAGGGGTAGGCAACCTTTCCCCTTTAAGGGCTGAGGGACTTCAGCTCCCAGAAGCCTCAGCCATGTTGGGCAATAGCTCCTGGGATTCTGGGAGCTGAAGTCTCTCAGCCCTTAAAGGGGAAAGGTTGCCTACCCCAGTTTTAATACAAATAATTACATTGTATATTAACATAGAGGCTTCTCATTTGCAGTAATTCTGCTCTCAGACCGTTACGTTTCTCATAATGCAGTCCAAATTTAGTGATGACTGAAGAGTTACTTTGTGTTGAAACAAATCTATTTATCATGGCATTTGGTTTTTAAAGTACTTTTTATTTCTGAAATGGATTGCTCATTATGCATATGATGCAATTTACATTATGAAATAATTGCATGCTTACTTTAACTAAAATCAAACTTCTGAATTAATACAGTTGGCTGGGGAGCAGACCAAGGCATTGGAGGATTTGGAGAAGATCCAGGAATTAAAGGGCAATTGATGAACCTTATCCGATCTGTACGAACAGTTATGAGAGGTATGGTTGACATTGTAATGCCCTTTTGGCAATTCATTGTTAGTGGTATTTCCTTTATTGTCTTCTGTATCTCAGGTGCATGGTATTATGAATTTTAATGGCACTATATTAATAAACAATATGGTAAATGATGAAAGACATTGCAGAATGATTAATTA